GCCGACAAACTTCAATACTATGTGGGCTGCTTTTATATTTTTTTAACAGAGGAAACAGCCCTGCTAGGATGCTAATCAGAAGGGATTTCCAAATATCCAATTTGATTTCAAATTCTGCTGCACCATACATAATTAAATATTCAGACTGGCAATAGTTTGATCATAAATAGATGTATTAACATTAAGCAGGTGGATTATACCATTAACTTCTACATAGAAGCTCTTATAGCCCAGAGGATGGATAGTCTTTTTCAGTTAATCACCGAATTGTTAAATGTCATCTCCCCCCCTTTCGATCTCTTTTTCAGTCACTGCTTCAACCACCTGTGAGAACTTGGAAAAAGCCAGGAATGAGATACAAACCGCGTATGAAGGGTTTGTACAGAAGCTGAACCAGCAGCACCAGGCTGATCTAACGGAGCTGGAGACTCGGCTGAAAGAATTTTACACCGGGGAGTGTGAGAAGCTGCAGCACATTTACATCGAAGAAGCAGAGAAGTATAAGACTCAGTTGCAAGAGCAGGTCTGTGGCTCTGGCACTTGAGCGTGCTCTCGGGGCTGCTCACTTGCATTCTGGGGTTGTTCCAATCCAGCAAAGGGCTTCTCGTTGTTTGTTGTTGTTGATGTTTCTTTATTTGTTTACTAGGTGAACAGTTTTGTTTTCTTCTGGGGATTTTTGGTATTAAACATTTTTTTCTTCTGATCAATTGTAATATATATGGCAAGTGGGGGGGGGGGAGAAAATGAAGAACAACTTGGTGACAATCCCTCTGAAAGCACCTTATTGTTAATTCTACACCATAATTTACATTCCTCCTTCTAAAAACACGATGGCACATGCTTTATTTTCTATTCCCTCCCTATTTTTAACCTAAGAATATACCATAAGCCTCTTTTTAATGTTCCTGTTCCCTTTTATCACTCAGTTATCCATCTAGTGGATGTTTGCAGAGAACCCCCGCCCCCCCCAGCCAAGCACGTGCTCAGGAGTGAGGGTGGCAGGCACAGACCTCCCACGAGCTCTGTGGTCCTGTCCCTGTCACCCGGGGGTGGGCTTGCAGCCATCTTTACCAGGGAACCCTGCACTCATGTTCCGTGCAGGCAGACTGGCAGACCCAAGCAGGGCCGCTTGTTACATGGCTCAGGCTGCTCTTCACCTTACATGCAGGTTTAGGTGTCAAGTCTCCCAGGGCTGTGCTCGACCAGTGGGCGCGGGGCTCTGGGCTTTCCCGGTCAGCGGTTGTTCTGTTTTTCTCTTCCAGTTTGACAATTTAAACGCTTCCCATGAAACCTCCAAGTTGGAAATTGAAGCCAGCCATTCAGAGAAAGTAGAGTTGCTAAAGAAGGCATATGAAGCCTCCCTTTCAGGCAAGGATACCTTTTCTATCTAAATAGAATTAAGAGCTAATGGCACGGCGAGATAAGCTATAAAAGGGAAGTGACTCATAACTGCCCCTCCGGGGCTACTGTGCGTCCTTCCCTGGGGAGCAGACTTAGTTCCTTTTCGTATTGTTCACCGTTACTGGAAGCTGATCATCGGCTGTGAGTTGGTTTGTTCTAAGTGCCGCTTCTGAGGAAAAAGGGTGAACTTTGTCAGATTTCAAAGGGACCTTTGGGGTGGTTAGCCATCCCCAGTTTAGGTTCTTGGGAAGCTAGTGATGTCCCTTGTGTCCTGACCACCATCACAGGTCCAAGCTAAGCCCTCTTGTTCCTCAGCTCTCTGCACACACTTGACCACGTGTAGATGGTCCGTAATTCTTGATGTATAAAGAGTCCTTTTCGCTGCAAAAGAGAAAGAGGAAGCAGCCGTCTTTCTGAGAACACAGTCATCCATGGGTGTAGCTCCTGCAGCCTGCAGAGAAACTGGGAGGGCGTGGGAAGCCCTGTGCGGCCTTGGCAAGGGCCTTTCTCTCCCAAACACAGAGTTGTTATGTAAAGTCAGAGGCAATAACATGCAAAAGCTAATGGCTCCGCGAAAACATCCAGTAAATCTTGTTTCCCTTCCTTCCTGCTAGAAGTGAGGGCTTCTGTTTACTTCATGGAGAGTAAGTGAAGGAGAACAGAAGGAGCGCCGAGCAGCAGTCTGAGGGCCAGGCCACCAGGCCCTGGCGTCCCTGAGCCTCTGTGGGCCTCCGTGCGCTCAGCGAGGCAGGGGAATATCAGCCCACGTACAGGGCTGCTTGAAGGGACAAAGTGCTTCCTACATAGAAAAGCGTGTACAAATGCATATTAATGTATTCACATTGATTCGCTGCAGTCCTTGTGGAATAAAGTGATCTCACAGAGTGTTACTACCTTAAAAACTATGAGAATGCTATTGCCTTAAATAAGTCAATCCTTTCTAGAAATCAAGAAAAGCCATGAATTGGAAAAGAAATCACTGGAGGATTTGCATTGTGAGAAGCAGGAATCACTGGAGGTGGGTGAAAATCAGGACCCCAAAAATGAACATGAAATAGAATCCTCCTTCTTGATGTTTGTGTGTTTGGGGTGTGGTTCTGGGTACGTTAGCTGTGCCAGCTGGGGAGCTTACAGGTCCCTATCACCACTGTGTTACAGAAGGAGATCAACCATCTGAAGAATGAAAATGATACTTTAAATGAAAAATTGAAATCAGAGGAGCAAAAGAGAATATCAAGAGAGAAAGCAAACTCGGTAAGCTGTGGGTGCTCTCCTAGCACCCCTACTTCTCTTCCTGCCTTTGAAAGTCAGCCACCCAAGAGTTCAGCAGCTAGAGAAATACTGGGTTTGCCATCCTTTCCATGCCTTGAAATGCAGTTTTAAATAGCGTAAGATGGATTCTTTGTCTTCTGGTGTCTCTATGTCTTCGATCCTGAAGCATGCATCTGGACAAAATACAATGTATTTCGAGTTGCCAAAGCCAGACAGGAAGTCAACAGCATTTTATCAATTAGGGCTAGGTTCTTATGCGACTATATCATTAATTTATTCATGTTAGATTCACTGCTTTATGAGATAGCATTTATATGCCATGAAGTTTCTCTTTTTTACAACTCAGTGGCGTTTAGAATATTCCTGAAGTTGTGCCTCACCCATCACGTATTTGTTTCCAGAACATGTTTATCACCTTAAAAAAGAAACTGGCAGCATGGGCAGCAGTCACTGTCCACTCCCTGCTCCAACCAGGGACCTCCAGCCAAAGAAGCAAACTCACTGCCATTGAACCAGTTCTGACTCTTAGAGACCTGCTAGGACAGCGTAGCACAGCCGCTCTGCGACCCTGAGGCCCCAAATCATTCTGGGAGCAGAAAGTCTCTCCTTTCTCCTCCTGAGCAGCTGGTGGTTGGAACTGCTGATGTGATCAGCAGCCCCACACATAACCCACTGTGCCACCAGGGCTCCTAGAACCTGTCAATCGACAAAGGAACCCTATACCATGCGGCCTGTTTTGTCTGGCTTCTTGCACTTAGCACAGTGTTTCCAGTGCTCATCCGTGTTGCAGCATGGATCAGGACTCCATGCACCCTTAGCGCATTCTGCTACTCCATTGTGTGGACAAAGACTTCATTTTTGAAAAGTACAAGTTTCTCTTGTAGGCTTGACTTTTCCTTGCACCTTGTATCCCTTGCTGTCTTGTTTGTTTTTATGTTTGTTGGAGTTTTTGTTTCTTGCTACTTTTGTCTTTCACGCCACTGTTTTTGTTCCATATATTTATGATCTGTGGAAGCAAAGCTTATCTTGCCCCTTTAAAATCTATTGACAGCTCATGTGGCGCACGTGAGCCCCATCAGGTGATCTGTGTTGGCCATCCCATTGGGAGCCTTTCTAGATATTTTAACACAATGAGAGGAGGCACAGTATTCAGTAAAGCGTCTTAGAAGATTCTAAAGTTCTTAGAAAGATTCTAAGATACTTAGAAAAGCCAATGGTTTCAGAAGAAATGTCGACTTACCAGTATATGCAAAGAGTAAACACGGCTAAGTGGTTTAAGGAACTGGACTTAAAGAGCTCCTTGTTCTCTACAAGGCTACTGCCAGGTGCGTTGGGACACGCAGGAGACAGCTTGAGGACATCGAGTGCCTGGCCCCTGTCTGATCACGTGTGATTGAAGAACAAAGAGGGCGTGCACGAAGGATCAGGGAGAAGAAAGGACAGGCTGGCAGAGTAGGAACGGGAGGTCTGTTCCACATTAAGAGAACGAATTTTGGAGTCCGTCCCTCACAAAAATGAAGTAGGATTTGCTATCTTATGGGATGTTGACAGAATCTTAACGCAAAAGGAGAGGCGACGTTATGTGACATTTTTAAAGATCTGTAGGGTTGAAGATGAGGGTGTTGGCCCTCCCCTGACCACTAGAGCCAATGCTCTCTCTTCTGAGGGGGTTGGATTAATCCCCAAAGGCCAATCCAGCTCACCATTACCTATTTCTTTTCAAGAATCAGTCTAGAAACCTCTGCCCTCGCAGAGTGTTTTGATGATTGACACCATTAAATCCTACGTAAGAAGTGCCCTCCTTGATCAGGAGATCATGTGCCGTTATTAATTTACCTCCTGAGCGTTAGCCGGGCTGGATTTCCATAAAGGAAGCAAGCTGAGAGGGGAGGGGATTGGGTTCTGCCGTGGTGTGTGGTGCTCTAAGGTGTTTCCCCTTGTGTGGTATTCATTTTGGATAGTGTTACAATAGAGCATGAAGGTGTGGTCTGTGCCGTGTAGGTGTTGGGAGGGTCACAGGTAAACTATGAGAGTCTTATGGCTGCCCTACAGGATGGAAAGACTAACATAGACCCTCACAAGGAAACTCCACAAGGCTCAGTACATTATTGACTTTGGTCACACCCTGGTAATTTATCCAAATGAAACAGGGCTGCGTGCCTCTTCCAAAGGGCCCCATAAATGTCCCTTTTCCATTCTTATCAGTTACTGAATTTGGTTAGAAAATGGTTGCTCCCATTTCTCCATCCGTAAAGGACTTGGAGGTAGCCTGATCACTAGCCTTGGTGTGGCTGTGGATGAGGGGTTGGGCTGCTCATCAGAGAGCCACCAGTTGACTCACTCACTCACTGCCTCACTCTCACTCTCTCACTATCTCACTGCCTCCCTCTCTCACTCACTCACT